CTACAATATGGAGGTGATGGTAGTTCCTACTTCACTGGGTTGTAAGGACCAACTGAATTAGTATTTATGAAGTGGTCAGGTCAGTACCTAACACATAGTGGCGCCATATACATGTATGTATTGAAAAGAAACCTGGGTGCCCACCAGAGTGCCCACACACCGTATCCCTCCAGAGCACAAACTCAGGGGAGAAAGCTCAGAGAGCTTCCTGTACCCAGAGTCAGGGTAGGCAGAAACACTTAAAACCCTCCAATTAGGGAGAACTCAGCCTTTGGGAGTGTGCACAAGTCAGAAAATGGCGACAGCGGCCTCAGGCCCAAAGCCTGTCTAAACTGTTCTCTCTAGGCTGCCCCACTCCAGGACCAGACTCCAGACCTACAAGTCTGGGTCCCAAACTCCCTTCCCCCTCGACAGACCCAGCCTAGAAGCTGGGTTTCCTGCCCGCCCAGGCCCCTGCTTGGGGCGGGTGGAGGAGGGGATGGCATTTCCTGGCGGGGCCTCAGGCAGCGTCACCAGCTCCTGGACACTCGGACAGCAGCGCTGACCGACAGGCACCAGATGCTATTTCGGGCGGCGCCCCGCTTAGAGCGCAGTTTCCGTTTTTTTCCACAGACTGTCGGAAACGGGAGGGGGAGGGTGTAGACGTCAGGAGCCCCAAGAGGGGGTGGGGGGACAGGTCAAGAACTGGCTGGCAGACCTGAATAGAGGCGGATGGGGAACGTCACCTCCCCACCCCGTGAACAGATGCCTGGGCACACTCTGCAGCTGGGCTGATAAAAGCCTTTCGTCCCTGTTTGTTCCCCACAGCCATTGGGCAGGACCATTGCCATTAGATAAGAGAGCAGTCTGTGGGTGCCTCAAAGGCACCTGAAGTCAAGGAACTCAAAACCAAATGTGGAATCCTTCTGTATGTCCCTTGACCTAGTCTAGGCCACCATCTAGGGAAAGAAACAGCAGAACCCCTGAGGGTTCCTGGATTTCTTCTTCCCCCTTCGCTCCCCAAATTCTTACAAACCCCGTTTTGTATCCTAAATGCATGTCATCTTCATCTGTGTCTTGCCATCTCTCCCGCCAGCACCCCAGTCCATGCTCCAATCTCTCTCCCCTGGAACACTGCGTTGGTCTCACGACTGATCTCCCCACATCCTTCCCACCCACGCACACCTCTTCTCCACCTTGCAGCCAAAGAGCTTTCTAGAAGTGCAAATCTGATCCTCTGTAGGACACTCGACCCACCCTCAAACCAAATAAACAAAATGATTCCCCGAAAAAGCCTTAGAATTGTTCACAGGCTTACTCCAGCCATACCGGACTCTTTTCTGTTCCTTTCATGAATCTGAAACCCTTCTGCTTTAGCCCTTGACCCACCCAGAAGGCTCTCAATGCTCACATTTCTACCCACTCCTCCTTAGATCCCACTCTGAGATCTGAATCCAGGCACCCTTCCCTCAGGGAAGCATTCCCTGGTTGGGCTCTCTGATATCAAAACGGCCAAGCCCCCTTTCTGCAGGGGCTTGGAAATGTGAAATGACTTGCTCAACGGTGCTGCATCCCAAGGGTGGCAGAGCCGGGCTCTGAAGTCAGAATTATATGACTCCCACCCTTCCTATTAAGTGACGACAGCCAAGCAAAGGCAATGAGGACCGGAGGAGGGAGAGATTAAAGCCAACCCTTTGCATTGAGGCTTCAGGCAGGAAGTGGCAGAAAGGTTGAGAGGAAGAGGACAATAAGGCAAAAGGACCAGCTGAAACTAAGGCACAATGGAGGGAGAGTTTGATTTGATCAGAATGGGTGAGGTGGGGCTGAGGCTATGTAGAGAGGGTGAGAGTTGGAACCCCTCTGCAGGGTCCCTGCTGAGCAGTTAATGTAGCTGGGCCAGGAGAGGCCTGGGGGCAAGTCCAGTTATTAGACTCTTTTTCTCAGGACATGGGTGCCCTTTTTCCATGGGATTCTGTAAAAATTACCAATATCCGCATGGCACCCCGACTTCCCCAAGAGAGGAACAGAGGGGACAGGCTGCGCTGAATTAACTATATCTTCACAGAGAGTTATCCTGATGGCCAGGGAGGGTCCAGGACTCAGACTGCAGTCACACTCGGGCCTCAGTCCTTCACTGGGACTCAGTCCGTGACCAGGCAAGGGGCTTTTCCCTAGCTCTCAGGTTCCAAAACAGCGAAAAAACAAAGATGCTGGAAGGACAAAGCAGCCTGGCATGATGGGTAGAGCTGTGGACTGGAAACTGGTTACTTGAATTTGGGTCTTTGGGTATTGGCTTTTCCTGTAGGTCATTGTAAGCTTTGGCCAAGTCACACCTCTCCAAGCCTTTTTTTTTTTTTCTCTCCCTATAATGATAGCCTCCATGCAAATGCATATGATGCCATCCTGGGCTCTGGGCTGGGTGAGATTTCATAGATTATCGTCCTCACCACCACCTTTTAAAGATCATTTTATTTAATCCTCACAACAGCTCTGTGAGGTACATATTATCTCATTTTACAGATGAGGAAACTGAGGTTCAGAACTAAGTGACTTGTAAGATTTCGGCCTGTGCTGTTTCCACTCCACCATAAAAAAAAAATGACCCAGATCTCCTCCATGGACTGAGCCCCAGTTCCCACCCTCCCTGAACACAGATTTCTACCCCACAGGGTAGAACTTGGTCCCTGCAATGACTTGAGCCCAGATCCCTTCTCCAAGCCTGGGCTCTAGCTGCCCTTCTTCAATAGCTGGGTTCCAGAGAGGACTCTAGGGCTAAATTTGCTTCAAACCCAGACTCCACCAACTAGATATGTAGCATTGGGAAAGTTACTTTTATTCTCTGTGCCTCAGTTTCCTCATCTGTATGTTGAAGATAATAACAGCATCAACCTCTTAGGATTGTTTATGAGAACTAAATGAGTTAATATTTGTAGAGTGCTGAGAACAGTGCTTTAGTAGCAAGATTGAAATGTTTAAAATATTATGGGAGGAGGGTTATTTAAGCTCAGGACTCAGCCTGAAATGCAGTAGAATGGACATTTTACACTAATTCAAAAAGACATACACATCCATATGTTCATTGCAGCATTATTTACAATAGTCAAGCTGTGGAAGCAACCTAAGTGCCCATCAGTAGATGAATAGATAAAGAAAATGTGGTACATGTATACAATGGAATATTACTCAGCCATAAAAAAGAATGAAATCTTGCCATCTGCAGCAGCATGGATGGACCTAGAGGGTATTATGCTAAGTGAAATAAGTCAGACAGAGAAGGACAAATACCATATGATTTCACTTATACATGGAATCTAAAAACAAACAAAACAGAAGCACACTCATAGATACAGAAAACATTTTTGGGCCGGCCGAGTGGCTTAGCTGGTTAAGAACTCACTTGGGAGCGCCAGCTATGAGCAGCAGGGCTGCAGTTCGGATCCCACATTGAGGGCCAGTGATGTTCGCCCTCTACAGCTGAGATGATGAACAGCGGCTTGACCTGGAGCTGGGCTGCTGGGGTTGCCGGCGACGGTGTAGGCTGCAGCAGGGCTGCAGTGGGCTGCCGAGAGCCGCTGTGAGTGGCTGACCAATGACCGGCGAATGATTGCCTCACCCGGGAAGAGCACAATGATCATGCCAACATGGGCCAGTGAAGCCACGTTCTCCACAACTAGACTGAAGAACAAAAACAGCAATTTGTCTACCTGTCTGTTTTCCTTCCCCAATTCCCCAGTGCTGTTCCCCTCCCCCCAATTCCCCAATAAAATCTTTAAAAAACAAAAACAAAAAACATTTTGATGGTTGCCAGATGGGAGGGGGGTTGGGAAGATGGGTGAAAAGGGAGGGGATTAAGAAGTACAAATTGGCAGTTACAAAATAGTTATGGGGATGTCAAGTATAGCATAAGGAATATAGTTAATGTAATAACTGTAGTGTCAGATGGGCACTAGACTGATCAGAGTGATCACTTCATAGGTTATATCAATGTCTTATCACTATGTTTTACACCTGAAGCTAATATAATATTGTATGTCAACTGTAATGGAAAAATAAAAATATTAAAAGGAAAAAGAATGGACATTCTCATCTCTCCACTGACACTAGTTCTGCCCCCATAGAGCTTCTGGTGTGAGCTCAGTCCACGACATCCAGGCAAGCAGGCTCCATTTTAGAGTGGAAAAGAGCCAAGGCTGAAAGAGGTGGGGGGCCAGGGAAGAGCTGGGGAGCTTTCCAGTAAGAGCAACTGCCCATTGAAATCTGGTGTCTAGGACACTGGAGAAAGAATAAATGGGGGTGGGGGTGGGGGTAGGAGTGATGGTTTTCGTGTTGTGGTCTTCAGAGACAGGGACAGAGTGCTGGGATGAGAGACGCTGAAGAAAGGTGTCTGGAAGGCCCAGGTAGAGACTGTGGTGGTGGGGAGCCCGGGTACCCGAAAGGCTTCGGGATCAGAAATGGGGCTGGATCCGGCAGGTCCTAGACAGCGCGTCCAGCTCTGCGCGGCGCATTCCCCGAGCGGGTCCCATTCCCGCGAAACCAGTCCCCGCTCCCTCCGGTGAAATTGCCAAATTAAAATGAATCATTTGGCCCATAATGGCTGAGGCGCTTATCGGGGGCGAGCGGACCCGCGGCAGCGCCTTATCTCCGCGGCACACACGGCCCCGGCGCGCCTTGGCCCATGCTAACGAGGCCTGGAACGTGAGCGGGATTAGAGCGCGTCGGTGGAGGAGCCGGGTGCGGCGCACGCGGGCGGGGGATCGCGGGCGGGGTGAGGCCTCCGCGCTAAGGACCGGGCCTCAAAATGGCCCCATGCAGCCTCCAGTAGCGGCAAAATGTGAGCATTCTGGCCTTTTTCTAGGGGCAAGCCACCTGCGGCCTCCCGCGGAATTCCCCATCAGTTGGTTCCCCGCTTTTCCCCGCTAGCAGGAGAGCTTTTCGCGCCTTTTCCCTCGGTTTCTTTCGATGGGGGGCATTTTCCACGGACGCCGTCGCGCTCGCCGCCGCCCCTCCCGCCTCGGAGACTCTCTTCCTTCCTTCCCCTTTTTCCTTACGCAATATACAGAAATGCGCGAGGCGGTGGTTGGTTTTCATTTCTTCTTCGCGGTTGTGTGCATGCGGTGGGATTGTGAGAGTGCGTGTGTGAGAGCGGTGGGCAGTGTTGACTTCTTCCGAGTGTGCTCTTCTCGGGGATCGGTTGTGGGTCCGTGTGAGATGGTGTCTGCGCTGTTTGGGGGTGTGGATTTTGATTCTTCGAGGTCCTTCTGCGTGTTTTATCGTTGTATATAAATGTTAGTTTGCCTTCTTGACATGGATCTGGTTCTGTGTGTGGGGTTATGCGGCCTTTGCAATTGTGTTTGGGTGGTTTCGTTGTTGTGTTGGGCATGTGTGATCTTGACTACCTGGGGCTGTGTGTCCGTGAGAGATTGCGTTTGACTGATTTCGTTGTCATGTTGGACAATGTGCGGGCCTGACCAAGTCGGTTTGTGGGGCAGAGTTGGGTTGTGTTTCTGTGGGGCTGGACGTGTGTGGTCCTGTCCCCTGGGCACGCAGCCTGAGTGCTTGTGTCCTTAGGAAGTGCATTTTAACATCCCTGGGGGGTGGGGGGGTGGAGGGGAGGGCGAACGAGAGATGGAGGTGCAAGCTGAGAAGGCGGCATGGAGGCAAGGAAAGGGATTTCACATTTTATTCCAAATTATGATGTATTTGGAAGCCAGTGTTGGCGTGGATGGGCAGACCGAGCCCGATCAGCGGCTGCTCTCTCCGAAGGCCAGCCTGTGCCTCGGTGTTTCAGGGATTTGCTCTTGAGTGGGAGGTTCTTCCAGGGTCCAAGCTGAGCTGCGCTCGCTTAGTCCGGCGTCTTCCAGCCGATAGCGGCCGGCTTCGGTTCCCACGGCATTCCGCTTCGTCCATTTCTGGTCAGTTTCGGGGGGTACAGCCGCCGGGGTCCGCGGGAGAGGCCCGGAAAAGACAATGGTCGCATTCTCCAGGCCTCGCGCTTCGGGTGGGGACCTTTGGGATCATCTCCAAGGAACATTTGTCCATCCCCTCCCCGGGTGAGCGACATTCCCGCGTGGGTCGGGTACCCGTCGCATCGGTGGCCAGGACCGGGCTCCGAGGGATGGGATCAATGCTGCCCTAGCTCAGGAAGAAAGGATTTTCTTTTGCCAGTTATTGTGGTTGCTAATGTCATCGTCGTAGTCATCATCATCATCATTATTTTATTTTAATTAAAATAATCGTCCAGGAGCAAAGCAGCTTTTCCCTTTTAGCCCGGATTGATAACAAAGCCGCGCTGCGGCCCCCAGCCAGCTCTGTTATTTTTAAGTTGCTGGGTTTAGGGTAGGAAAAGAAAATGGAGGCGGGACGGACACAGAGACTCGGTCATACAGCAAAAATTAATTCCGACCTAAAACACGGAGAATGAGTGGATTCCCTTTCTTCCCACCCCTCCCCCATGTGGATTAGAAGAAGAGAAAGAAAATCTCTCACGTTGGATTGAAACCGCAGGGAAGAATTATTCCTATATTTCCATCAAAGTCAGGGCAAAAAGGAGGCCTTTGCAGTTAATCCAAGATTTCCATGTGCGATCATAAACTGGATTATTTACACAAAACAAATTAAACTAAAACCTCCGGAGAGGGGAGAGGAGCAACCTAAATCTCTCTACTGCTACACCCTGGGAAGTAGTCATGGGTTTATTTTTACCCTCCCTCCCTTTGCCTTGTTTATTGCTGCGAGGAATTATTAGAATTCTCCCCTTCTCTGCGGGTCTGAACACTGAAAAATAAAAAATCGTTGTGTAGAGATGGCTGAGGGGAAGGCGGCGGAGGTTCCTTTCCTTTCCTTTTCTTCCCTTCCCGTCCCTTCCCTTCGCTTCCCTTCCCTTCGCTTCCCTTCCCTTCCCTTCCCTTTCTCTCCCTCTTAATCAGTAGGAAGAAAAGGGAACTGGATAGATCCGATAGCCAGCCCCCCATCCTCTCGGATCCGCGCGGTCCCGACTCCATTCCTGCGGGAAAGCAGCTTTTGAATTGGGTTCTGGTTTCGCTTTGGGCAGGTGGGGGTCATGGAGAGACTGGGGGGCTCCGAGGTTCTGCCCCATGGACTAGGGTTTGAAGACTGGATTCCTGATTTCCGACACACATCCCCCTACCCACTCAGGCCAGGCTGCGGACGACTCCACGCTGTGGCTGCAGCTCTGGCCTCACCCGGGTTCCAGAGCCAACCACGTAGACGTGTCAGTGCTTAGAAAACATCCCCGGTCACCCTGAACCAGATAGCCCAGTAAAAGGGTCCCAAAACGTCCCGGGCAGCCTACAGCGGGGCTGTTGTTGTTGGACTAAATAGTTATTCCTGATTGGTCATGTGTAGGGTTCTTTTTTATGGGTGGGGGGAGGCTTCAAACACCTGCAGGTTGGGGGCGGAAAGCTGTTCGTGATTCCCTGGGCTGGTTGGTGAGGACGTGAGGTAATTCCCAGCCATTGACCCCCATTTCTCTCTCTCCCTCCCTCTCGCCCTCCCTCTTTCTCTCCACCCCCATTTTTCCTGGAAACTCGTTTTGGGCGCGGCAGACCGCCGAGGACCACACCGCGGCCTGACTGCTGGTCACTCGGGGAGAGGGGGAAGCAAAGACCCCCGTCTACGACCTGGACCTTGGCTTCCGCCTCTTTCCGGCGGCGGAGTGGAGATCCTATTGAGAGGGGCCGATCTCTCTAAATATGCCCCAGGTGAGTTTGGAGAGGCGGGAACCGTATCAGTGGAAACTGTGTCCAGGAAGGCCCTGGATTCCGGTCTGGGGTGGAGGAGGCTCAGGACAGAGGATAGTCCAGTCTCAGATGGAGGCGGAGGAGAGGACGAACCCAGAACTGGGAATTCGGGATCTTACTCTGCTGCAGACTGTGGCCTCTGTGATTGTGGCTTCCAGCAGGGCCCTTTCCTTTTTGGACCTTGGGTAAAAACAGCTAGTTGGACTTAGTTCCCCCAGGCTGCTCCCGTCGGTCCTGGTTCTGTGGACTGTTTCCCAAGGCTCATAACCTTGGAGCGGCTATATCCGGGTGGTGCAGGCTGCGTGCGCTGGGGGCTCCGGAGCAGAGAGATGGCCGCAGCCATCCTGGCTAGCGCAGTCCCAACTCGGGTGGGCCTTGACCAGGGCCTAAGGCCTAGGGCGGGGTCGCGCTGGAATCCCCCCTCCCCCCTCCACTCCCAGAGCGGCGGGGAAAGCGGTTCAGCTCACTGGAGATGTTGGTTCTTGCGCATGCTTGGGGCTCCCCCAGGGGGTCTTGCGGGTGTGGGTGCAGTGTGAGGACAGGAGACCTGGTTTAAGGCGGTGGCTCTAGCCCCTGGCACAGCAGAGGCTATTTTTATAAAAGAAATTCTTCATTTCGGAATTGGGAGCTGCCCGAGACCCGGTGCCTGCCCCCCAGGAGTTCCCCGGGTCCCGTGTCTTGTTCAGACACACACAGAAACGTTCTAGCGGTTGGCAACAGATGAGAATCTGGTGTTTGGGGCTGCGAGGTGGGTCTTGGCCACACAAAGAATAATTGTCTTTGGTCAAATACCCTAGTGCCATTCAGTTTGAAACCTTCTCCCCCTCCCTTCGTCTCCCCTAAATAAAAACAAATAAAGAAAAATCACTCAGGCTTTGCTTTTAGTAATCTTAACCAAAGCCAAGTGATGGGGTTTAGTCGCTGAAAACCGACAACCGAAGGTGCTTGTGAGTCCTCCGGTGGCTTCCTCTGGAGCTTGGACCCCTGGCCTGGGTGATCCTGGTTGCAGAAAAGCCCGCCGGGTTTTCCTGAGGTCCGGGGAGGGGCGGGCAGTGCTGGGCCACAGACCCTGGGGACCAATCATAGGTTTCCCACAGAACGCCTCAGAGATATAGATATTTATAGACATCTGGAGAGGGCATTTAGGGCCAGGGTCAACTCATCTGGAATATGTGCTCTCCTTGCCCCTCGAGGATCCGGTCCTTTGCGGAGCCAGGGAGCCATGAAATTAATCAGAGGGTATAAATGTGTCATAAGGAGAGCTTGAGCTCAGTCCGGCGATTGCAGTGCACACCATTTTTCACTCGGTTAGAAACTGGGGCTGAAGCACGTGTCACTGGGCATACCACAAATTGGGACAGAAAGGTAGGGAGCCAGCACATTGGAGCTTGTTTGTTTTGCCATAGGATGGTGTATTTCTGATGCATTTCACTGCAGCAGGGGAGCCAGGAGGACCTGACTGGTATACCTTGGGTGCATTTCTAGCAACCAAAGTATCTTGGCGGTCCCATTCTGTGGATACAGATCTATTGTTTCCGCCATAATCGTAAACTCGCTTCCAGCGAAGCGCTGCGAACCCAGTGCCTTTGCAGCTCAGTGTACATCACGTCTTGGGGAATTTTGTTGTTTCCGGGCCGGGCTGCAGGGCAGGCAGACCCAGGGAAGGAGTGCAATCTGAATGGCGATTCTACATCAGCTTGTGTATTTGGTAGCTATTGAGCTGAGCTCCAGAGGAGGTTTCAGAAAGTCTGGTCTTTCTTTCTGCCACGGAAAGATGGTACCTAGGCCGACTCTGGTCCTGAGCATGGTGCAGTGGCAGAATGGGAGATCAAGGGCTGCCGTGAAAGACGAGATGGACTCTGCTTGAGGACGAATTGGATTTTTGTGTATTTATTTTCTGCTATAAAATACCCCAATTATATAATCCGAGAGCAGAAACCTTATTTTGAATATTTTATGAAGATTGTCAATTTGGTTATATTTTTATTTTATTTTTTAAATAAAACAACTTACAAGCATCCCCAACCTCTGGACCCAGAGTCTTATGTTTTTGTTTTTTTGTTTTAGTTTTTGATGGAGCCTGGCTCCATCATCAATAAAGTAGGGTGATGGAAGATCCTGAGCAAGTGCCCCTGGGGAGTGGAGCCTCTGTGGTCACCCTGGATTATGGTTGTGGAGGAGAGGAGTGTCCTTGGCTCCGGGGGTATATATGGGAGGACATATATGAAGGATAGTGCAGACAGAGGGAAATCAGAGTTCTGGTCCTGCTCTGTTGCAAATCATTGTATTTGACCTTGGGCAAGGCAGTAGTAGTCACCTCGACCACCCAGTCTCCATGTCAATAATAATGTTTACTTGAGCATTTGCACAGTGCTTTTTAATGTATAAAGGAGGTATTCCTCCCATTTCCCAGAGAACAACACCAAGGCGGAATGGGGACTGGGGAATACCGGAAGAGTTTAAAGGCTTTCATGACACCCCTTCCCGTGTCATGCAGGAATGGGAATTCAGACCTCAGCAGCCTCCATACTGCCTCAGCCCGGATTCCCTGCCAGACCCCACCCCACTTCTGAGTCCAGCTGATCAGAAGGAGGTGGAGTGTGCAGGGAGATAGGGCCGGGATCATCTTCCCTTCCTGATGTCTCATCTCCGGCCGGCTGGGTGGGAGTAAATACTCCGCTAGGGTTTCCAGCAGCTGCACAGAATAGAATACACGGTGGGTTTGCTTAGTGTAGACAGACACCCCTGCAGGAGATGAATATATATTGAATGGGGGTGCTGGTTCCTCTGGCAACTCTCCGAATTGGACTTCAAGTCCTGTAGCCTCCATTCCCTAAACTCCCTAGTTGCAACTCACCAGGTTTCTGGGCGAATGTGTGTGGCGGTGGGCTGGGGCGGGCATTGCTGAGAGGTGAGGGTTCGAAAAGCACCCACCTCCGCGGGACAGAGTCCCCGCCAAAACCAAAAGGAGGCGGCGGGAGGAACTCGGTCGGGGATTTGTTCCCTCCTCTTCCCTTGCAGCCTGAGAAGGGGACGGGGTGATACTTACTTCTTTCTCGCTTCTTTCTACATTTCCTTCCTCCTTTTTTTCATTCTGTTTTTCTTTCGCTGGCTGTATTCCTTTTCTTCCGATGTCTCTGTCGTCTTTCTCCGTCTCTGTCCTTCTGGCTCGCAGTCTCTGTGTCCCAGGCACCCTCCCTGCTACTCCCAAACCAGAGACCCCTTTGCCCTCCCGCCCCTGCCCCGCCAGGGCTTTAGGCCCCGAGGGCAAGTGTGTGTCCACGTGGCTCTAAGTTTATCGCCTTTCCCCGCGTCTGGGAGCGTGAGTTTCTCTTTCTGCCCTTCACCCCCTTACCCCACCCCACGTCGGTGGGCTGAGGGCGGTTGTCAGAGCGGGCCTCCGCTTGTCTGTCTGTCTGCCCGCAGGATGACGGAGCGGCCGCCGAGCGAGGCGGCACGCAGTGACCCCCCGCTAGAGGGACGGGAGGCGGCCGAGGCCCGCATGGCCCCCCCGCACCTGGTCCTGCTGAACGGCGTCGCCAAGGAGACGAGTCGCGCGGCCCCAGCCGAGCTCCCGGTCATCGAGCTGGGAGCTCGCGGCGGCCCGGGGGGCGGCCCCGCGGGTGGGGGCGGCGCCGCGCGAGACTTAAAGGGCCGCGACGCGACCGCGGCCGAAGCGCGCCATCGGGTGCCGACCACCGAGCTGTGCAGACCTCCCGGGTCCGCCCCGGCGCCCGCGTCCGCCCCGGCGCCCGCTGAGCTGCCCGGCGACGGCCGCATGGTGCAGCTGAGCCCGCCCGCGCTGGCGGCCCCCGCCGCCTCCGGCCGCACGCTGCTCTACAGCCTCAGCCAGCCGCTGGCCTCGCTCGGCAGGTCAGGGCCTGGCGGGAGGGCGGAGGAGGGGGTGCAGGCAGTCATGGGCTCCCGGGGCTCCCCGCGTGCACTTCGGGGATGCACGGCTGGAGCGCAGGCAGAGAGGGAGGGGCTGTTTTAAACTCACAGGCATCAAAACCTAGAAACTGGGTTCCCCGTGTGCAAATGAGAAAGGAGCTGTCTGTGAGTGAGTGTGTGTGTGTGTGTGTGTGTGTGTGTGTGTGTGTGTGTGTGTGTGTGTGTGTACACACACACGCATGGGCAGGTGTGCGGGTGCCTTGTGACTGCGGCGCGCCCGGGTGTGTGTAAGTCAAGATGGGGGAGTGCAGGCATGTGGCTGGGTGTGAGTAGACGCGCCGTGTGCTGTGTGGCTAGAGGGCAAGGCACGACAGAAGGGAGTTGAGTGAGTGGGGGCACCAGGCAAGAGTGTGTCTGAATGCACTCCGCTGCGAAATTCTTTTGAAAACTACAGCCCTCTGTGGACAGGTAAGAGATAAGGATGTGAGGGTGGTAGGGAGTGTGCCCCCTCTGCTGCATCTGAATCTCTGCTCCAGAGCCCTCCGGGGGAGCGGATCCCTTTCTCCTCTCCCTAGCCCTTCTGTCCCCAGCTGTGGTCTCGGGCCCCAAGCCTTTCCTCCCCTTGATGTGCCGCTGTCAATTTCCTTGCTGGGGCCACTGACATGGTGGAGAGATGGGGAATAGGCAGATGAGGCAGGGATACACAGTGTGGGGCAGTTGGTGAGTCTGCAGGAGACTGGAGAAGGAAGCTATAGAGAGCCCAGGGTTGGTGATGGGGGTGGCATGTCAGCGGTGGTGAGTCAGGGTTTCCTGTCGGTTGTCTATCCACAGGACCCCACAAGGTCTGGGTGAAACTGGGGTGAAGTTGGGGAGGAGGGGACAGTGTGCCCTTTTGTGGTGCTAGAGTTGCATACCACTAGGTGTGAAGGCCACGTCTGCCTGTGTAAGCACCTGTTTGGGAGTGGAGGTTGTCTGTGGATTGTGTGCTTGTATTAGGGGAGGGGAGTGTGTGTGTGTGTGTGTGTGTGTGTGTGTTTTCATGTTCCTGTCTCCAACTCAGATGTGATTCTGAAATAAGGGACCAGGGTTGCCCTTGTTTTCCCAGGGGTGGGGGGTGGGGGCTCAAGAACATGCAGAAGGATCTAAGGAGCCTCTGTCTCACCTCCACCCTACATGTGATGGTGTGATCTGCCTGCTCCCTCCCACAGTGGGTTCTTTGGGGAGCCAGATGCCTTTCCTATGTTTGCCACCAACAACCGAGTGAAGAGGAGACCCTCCCCATATGAGATGGAGATTACTGATGGTGAGTCTACCCACCCCCACCTTTGTTATTTGCCCCTCATGTTAGTTAGAATTCTCTAAAGAAGGGATCATGGGGACTACTCCTAGGTGTCTCACATGGATGGGCAGGCTGCTTTGGAACACCAAACTGCCAAAGTTCTCACCCTGCTACTGAGCACCATGGGACTAGGGAAGAGGGGACATGGGAGTGAAGACACATTTGTGGTGCTTAGCCCAAATTTCCAGGGTCAGTTGCTGTCCCCACTCTGATTCCGTTCCTATACTTGGCAAAGATCCCGGGGGGGGGTTTGAAAGGGGGGGGAGCAGAAACACAAGGTGCCCCTACTCTAAAGACGGACCCTCAAGGATTCCCTACACTTCCTTGCAAGTCCTCTTTGGAATCTGGAGTCTGCTCCCTGCCTGGAATTGCACCTTCAAGGGTCTCCTCCCAGGTCCCTACCTACATGGTGGGGCTTTCTTGTTCCACACTCAGGGCTGAGACCTGGAGTTCCCTTCCTGACATCATAGATTCGATGCTGCCTCTTTGCTTCCAAGCCTTAGCCCTGCTATTATGAATTGCTTGAGTAGTCTTTGGCCCTGAACTTGAGGGAAGGGGTTGAATGAGAGGAAGATTTGGAGGACCCTTTCCTTCTTCCCAAGGTTGATCTGATGTAGCCAGTAGGGCCCAGAGCCAGGGGGCAGGAGAACAGGCTCTTAGAGCTGAGGGACATGGAGGAAATCCCTGGAGCTCCCAGTGCTCAGCCTGGCTGGGACCTGGGTTCCTGAAGGAAGGGTACCTGAGGCCTTGCAGCCAGGCTGGGATTTATCCAAGGGGCCATTGCGAGGAATGTGTATGGAGCTGGAGCTTCCGGAAGGGAGTCCTCTGTGGTCTTCTGGAGAGGAAAGGGGCTAGAGTCTGGACAAGGAAACAGGCCTCAAAAGACCCAACCAGCGGCGGGGAGGAGGGGGGCACAGGGGCATAAGGTCAAGAGGGAAGTATGTTGGGGGGTTAGTGCTGCTAGGTTAGAGAGGGGGGGTGGGTATACCAAACAGGAAGCAGGCAGGACCAGCCATGACGTTCTCCAGGGAAGAGGCATTTTCTACAAAATGCAGAGGCAATGGAAATCAAGCACAGAGGAGAGGAAGGAGGTGATGGAAGGGGCAAGGGCTTGTGGGGAGTGCAGGAAGATAGGGAAGCCATTGCCCATAATGTTACCTATATTTACTAAGCACCTACTCAGTGACTGGCCAGAGAGAGGGGACATAGAGGGTTGGACAGACTCAGAAAAGAGGAAGGTGGGGAAAGGTGGGTAGTTCTCTGGGAAGGAGACAGAAAAATAGGCGGAAATGGGGGTGAAGGGGACAGGATAAATCCACAGACTTTGAAATCAGATATTTAACCAAAAAGAGTGCATAGAAGTGGCACCAAGGCAAGGTCTAAAGCTAGGACTTACTGTGGGTCCTGCTGCTGAACTTCTCTGTGCCTCAGTTTCCTCGTTTGTCAAGTGGGAAGAGTAATAGCTTCCTCACAGATTGTCGAAAATGTACAATGCGGTAAAGGGTTGTCAGGGCCTGGCTCAGGGTAGGTGCTCCCTTCTGGAGCCCGTCTAGTTCTAGCTGTGACGGCAGTCATGATGCTCCCCTCCCCACCTAGGAGTTCTGTCAACATCAGCCAGCATTAGTCCTGGAGCAGGGGCTGGCTGTCTCTATGTCACAGCTGAGGGACTCCCCTCTGCCTGGATAAGAGGCGAGAGGACAGCCAGTTATTTCCTCTGAGGCACCCAGGGTAGGACTGCCCAGCAGGTGTGCCGTGTTTTTCCCAGCCTGGGTCTGGCCTTTGGCAAAGAGTCAGCTGGGCCGGGGCCTGTTGGGGTTTGGAAAGACAGCTTCAGAGGCTGTGGCAGGGGATGAGTGATCCTCCCGGGAAAATGTGTGTGTGTGTGTGTGTGTGTGTGTGTGTGTGTGTAAGTGTTCATGTGTGCAACGTACACATGTAGGAGAGAGAGACAATCAAGCAGGAAGTGTCAGCACGGATGAGCTGGGTCACAGACTGACCTCAGAGGCAAGGTCTGCCTTTGTCCTGGCCTCAGTCGCTTTAGCTGTGAAATGAGCAGTGGGTCTTAGGTCATTGACTTCTTCTTTCCTTTTATCCCCCGCCCAAGTTTACACATTCTGAGGTCTGGCTCCAGGGGTCTTCAGAAGAAAGCAAACAAATATGCCTAGACTGGCAGTTCCTTCAGTGTGCAGATCTCTCTGAGGACTGCTTGGAGCCCGGCTCTGTGCCTCAGTGTTGGGGAGGGAAGCCCAGGAACTCGGGAGCAGTAGCAGGGCCTACCTCTGTCTTCCCCGGCTTTGGGAATTGCAGGTCAGGCTTGGACATTTAGTGCAGTGCTTTGCACACATAGGTGCTAGATACATGCACACTGGTGTCTGCCCCAGCTGCACAAGTCTTAATACACAAAAGCTAGTGAATATTAGTCCAGTCTTTAATCAGTGCATTGTAGACATAGAGAGACTGAGGGAGCCCTCAGATGCCTGCCTAGAGCCTCAGGCTGAGCCTGTGCCTGGCTGTCTTTTCATTTCTCTCCTTGGGGAGAGGGCCCACAGTGTAAATCTCTCTCCTCTCATCTCTGCTATCTCCTCCATTCCCCCACCTGCCGGCATGATCAGTCAGTCGGCAAACAGTTACTAAACCTTCCTCTGTGCCTTCCATCCCCCTGAGAATCAAATCCCACACCTTCCTGCAGGACTCTATGGGACTGGACTCAGACTACTCTGATCTCACCCGCATTAATCTAGCCAGGCTGGCTTCAACCGTTTTTCAGCTCAGGGTCTTTGAACGTGTTGTTCCCTCTTCCCTTCCTGTGCCTGGCTGGCTCTTCAGCCTTAAATTCTTACCTTATAGATGTCTTACCTCCTCCGAAAGGCCGTCTCCAACCACCTCAGCTAAATGTAGTAGCTCCTTCCCATCTTTTATCTATATTCGGCCTCCTGTCTCTTTGTTATCTGTTTGCTACTTATTCATCATCTGTCATCTCCATTAAAATGTAAGCTCCATGAGGGCAGGCACTCCATCTGTTTTGTTTGCCATTATTCTTTAGTGCCTAGCACAGTGCCTGGTTGTTAGGTAATACCTGATGAACAGATAATAATAGCTGACATTTATTGAATGAATATTTAATCTGAGGCAAGTATTGTCTTAAGTACTTCGTCTGCGTTAGTTGTTAGATCCATGTGATAATCTTATGACTTGAGTGGCTAGTATTACCTCCATTTTACAGATGATGGAGCAAGGCAGAGGGAGTTTAAGTAACTTGCCCAGAGTCACTGTCTAGTGAGTAATAGTCAGGAATTGAACCCAGAAAGTCTGGCTCCAGAGTTTGCTTTGTAACTAATGCTATATGGCCTCTTGGTACAAGTGAGTGAGTGAATGAATGAATGAATGAATGAATAATATGTGGTCCCTGTCCTCAAATGTCTCACAGCCCAGAGAGAGAGAGAGAGAGAGAGAGAGAGAGAGAGAGAGAGAGAGAGAGAGAGAAGCATAGAAGCATTACAGCAATGATCAAGAGTGATGGAGATCCAGGGATTACAGGGCCGTGGTGGTTGGTTAGCTCTCTCTGGAGGGGTTGAGGGAAGTCCTCAGAGAGGAGGAAACAGATGAACTGGATTTTGAAGGATGAGTAAGAGTTTTCTAAGTAAAAGGAAAGAAGGCATTCTAGGTTTCCCAAGTTTCCCAATGGATGTTATTTCTCCTTTCCCACAGGAGAAGATGCCTTGAGAGATCCTCCAACCCACTCTCCTAATCCTTGTCCTCCTGCCCTCCAGGTCCCCACACCAAAGTAGTAAGGCGCATCTTCACCAATAGTCGGGAGCGGTGGCGGCAGCAGAATGTGAATGGGGCCTTCGCTGAGCTCCGCAAGCTGATCCCCACGCACCCGCCAGACAAGAAGCTCAGCAAGAATGAGATCCTCCGCCTGGCCATGAAATACATCAACTTCTTGGCCAAGCTGCTCAATGACCAGGAGGAGGAGGGCACCCAGCGGGCCAAGCCTGGCAAGGACCCTGTGGTGGCGGCTGGTGGAGGGGGTGGGGGTGGAGGGGGTGGTACACCCTCAGACGACCTCCTGCAGGACGTGCTGTCCCCCAACTCCAGCTGTGGCAGCTCCCTAGATGGGGCAGCCAGCCCAGACAGCTATACAGAAGAGCCTGCACCCAAGCACACGGTCCGCAGCCTCCATCCTGCCATGCTGCCCGCCACTGATGGAGCCGGCCCTCGGTGATGGGCCTGGGGCCATCCTAGACCAGCCAGGAGGATGCCCTCATGCCGTTGGGACTGTGGGCTTCAGGGCAGGTGGGTGAAGACTGGGCAACTCTGAAGCAGGGCAATGGACTTGATGAGCTTTCTGTGATGTCTGAACTTTGGGAAGCCCAAACTGTCCCTGGGGCTGGCTTTCTTCTTTCCTGCTTCAGTAGGAGAACAGAAAAATGAAGTAAAGTGGTAGGTACTTTTTATGAAGACGGCACGGTCTTCCCCCTTCCCCAGATCCCTAAGACTTCTCAAATACGAGACTCGAGTGGCACTGTTTTTGGCCTGGAGCTTGGGAGCCCTGTCTTTGCTGAGACCTGGGATTGTCAGCTCTCGCCTGAGGCATTCAGCAGCCTCTGCTTTGCCTTTAGTCCCTCCCAAGCTGGCTGGGGTGGCTTTTGTGGCCACTCTGGCCAAATATATAGGTACCCAATAGCTGCCCGTTTCTTGAGCCCCATCTTCACTCAGGCCCGTATTGGTCCATCCAGCTTGCCAGCTACTGCAGAGTCACAAGCCTCGAGGTGCCTTCTTCAGGGCCTGGCTGAAGAAGATGGCCAGTGGACTACCTGCTCCCGACTAGCCGGGTCAGAGGGTCAGAAAACACAGTAGCCCTTACTTCTTGCCCCGGGCACTGAAGTTCTGCTTTCTCCCCACTGAAACTTGTCTTACTAATCCTTGTGGCTGTGGGGACCAAGTCTGCAGCTGTGAGCATGCCCTTTGGGCTTTGTGGGAAGGCAGAGAAAGGGAAACCAATTAGAGGAAAATGAGCAAGAGCTATTTGGGCCACGTGGGCTTCAAATCCTGGTGGTGTCTCAAAGCTACCTGCCTGTATTCTCGGCTACGCATCACTTCATGTGGTGAGCAAATGCCAGTGTGCCGACGGGCATGCATTGGTGCTGAGAGTAGATGCGAGCCCCATTGGTGCATTCTGCTAGATGCTGAGAGGGCCCCCCCCTGCTGCAGGATGTATGTTTGCTGATGCTCTGCTCTGTGTTCCAAACTGAACTGAGCACAAACTCTGTCCTAGGAATTCCTGGCATTTGGGATTTCTTTCCTGGCACTGGGATTTTTGCTCAATTGCAGTGATTGGTGGGATCTTGATATGACCCAGAACCCAGCCCCAATCCTAGGACATGGGGAATCCAATTAGAGACCAGTTTAAGGTTCACTTAGCAGACTCTGCAACACCCCTCAATGGTGCAGCTTTCAGCCATCACGGGTGTGTATGGGAGGCTGGCTTAATGCAGTAGGAGTGCCCGCCTCCAAAAGTTGTACATGGCATTTCTGTAAATCAAATCTTTATCCTTCATCTTTTAAAGAAATACTACCACAAGTCCTTTTGTAAGTGAAGAATCCTTTAGTAGAGTGGACCACTGCCCCCTTGTTGGAATAAAATGCACACAAGTCCTACATACCTGTCATTGTACCCTCAAGTCACCCCAGCCATCCCCCACCAGGCTCTGCCTTTGAGGTCAGAGAAGAACGACCCCATGGCCCTGCCCAGCGCTGTGGCTGTTGGAAAAGCCCTCACACATTTTGGGTTCAGTCCAGGGCTTGCCCTCGCTGTGATGGGGCCTTGAGTACAGCCGAGTACAGCTTTATGCAGACAGGGCATGATCGCTGCTCTCCTCACCTTCCTTTTAAGTTGGGAGGTCCAGTTCTTGGAGATAGGAGCGACATGGTTAACCCTTGTAGCATTCTGACACTCCGTCCCATGTCACCTTCCCAAAATCATGTTTTGATGAACGTTCGTTGGGATGGGTTCCTTTCCAGTACTTGGCAGCTTCTGTGAGAATTCCTGTCTGTCTAAAGATGGAGCATTTGTCCTAGGTCTAAGGCTGTGTTGCTTCCTGGTGGATTAATTTGACTTGGGAGTAAAAAGTGACCATGGTGTGAACGAGTGGATGGGTTTTTGGAGATGAATCACACATTCTCTCAGGAACTCAAGCTTCTGGCTCCCTCTTCTCTCAGATTCACAGCGTGACCTGGACAAGTTCTCTCTCCGAGTGTCCGTTTCTCATCAGTACCCTGGCTTGTCTGTCCCCTAGGGCTGTGGACTGACTGGAATCATGAAAGTAGAAGCATTTTGAGACCATAAAGAACTCTGTTGCCCTTAATAGCAACCCTGCATTCGGGGTTCCCACCCTGAGTCTAGGACCTAGGCAGTGGGCCAGTCTGCCTGACTACACAGCATTTGGGTAATTTAGGTTCTAAACCACTTTTGCCTGACCTAGATTGTCCCCATTTCTCTAGGTTGATCTCATTTCTGTCTCATTCTAAGGCAAGGTATAGGACTGAGAATGGAAAAGAGATATGGGAACATGGAAAGAAGATGTAAAACATAATGCAGATACCTAAAATGGGACTGGGTAGGAAAGCACAAAGCTCCAGGTCTTCGTAAGACCTAGAAGATCCATTATTTTTATTTTCATTTCTAGCACCTCATCCCTCCACCATACCCTTCTCCTTCTCTGCCCGCTCCTCACCCATGAAGAAATGGCAACATTCCAAGAATAATATCTGTACAAAAGGGAAAATATGTAAAGGTATAAACAACAACAACATGAGGAGAGCAAAGATGACTATAATGACTAGAGGGACTCCCATCTTTTAAGAAAAGTTCATATTTTACTTGTAGTGGCAAATGACAAGATGGTACAACCTTTATCCTTTTCCAGAAACAAAACCAAGGGCACAGCATCTGTAGTCAGCTGACAACTATTTCGGCCTTTGGGGGTGGTCTGGTCGTACTTGTGATGTCAGTGGTACGTGACCCCCTGCTGAAAGCTTGCCCCCTGCCCATGTACATAGCGCAGTGTTCCTGTGGGCGGGCCCAGCACTTTCCGTCAATGTTGTACTGTACGTGATGAATTGATGAATTGCGTTGGTCTCTGCATTTTTCTGCAGGAGAGGAGTGACTGCTCCAGGTACCTTGACCTTTGTACATCCCAGAGGCCAACACTGTGGGCGTGTGACTCTTTAGCGACACAACCCATGTGGTGATCATGTGTGTATATATATAAGGATATATTGGGAAGATTTCTAAATAAAAGTTTTACAAAGGGGGCTGGACTCTGCTTGCATGTTGCATCCCTAGGCCTGAGATTTGCGACATTAAAAGGAAAGTCATGGCAAGAATCTGTGTCTCCTGAAATGGGGGGGCCTCCAGGACTCAGCTGTCCTCTGAGGGTGGGATCCCAGCCCCTACCCTGAGGCTTACCCCTTAGGGTTTCTATTCTTTTCCCTCTGCCTGGCCTCACAGAGGGGGCTTCTTCTCAGCATTGTACATCTACGCTTTCTGCTTGGGGCCGCCCCGCAGATGTTCCCCTCTGTGTTGGGTTTAGCTCCCATGGCTGGGACAGTTGCTTTTTTTTTTTTTTAAAGATTTTTTTTATTTTTATTTTATTGGGTAATTGGGGGGATGGGAACAGTACTGGGGAATTAGGGGAAGGGGAACAGACAAGTTGCTGTCGTTTTTGTTCTTCAATCTAGTTGTGGAGGACGCTGCTTCACTGGCCCAAGTTGGCACCATCATTGCGCTCTTCCCTGGTGAGGCAGATCAGTCGCCGGCTTCTGGACGGCCGCTCACTGCGGCTGCTGGCCGCTCACGCTGGCTGCTGGCTACACACGGTAGCCCATGGCAACCCACTGCCACAGGGACTGCAGCCTACGCCGTCGCCAGCGACTCTCGGCAGCCCAGCTCCAGGTTGAGCTGTTGTTCAGCATCTTAGCTGTAGAGGGCAGTGTCACTGGCCCTCATATGTGGGATCCGAACCGGGGCCCTCTGGCATCCCAAGCGAGTTCTTAACCATCGCGCCACTCGGCCGGCCCGACAGTTGCTTTTATTGTAGGTTCAGGACAGATTAAGGTCTCCCCAGAGGAAGCTCCCAAGTTCCTGATGACTCAATGGAGGTTGCAGCTCTTAAGCGTGGCTCTTGAGGATTGCGGGGAGGGTGGTACAGGTCTTACGTGGGGTTAAGGGTCAGAGGCTGAGGCTTTGGAGGTAGTGAGTGGAGGCTCAGAAATGACAATGCTGTTCAGAGGCAGGGACTTTGGATTCCGGGGAGGCCACTGCTCGGGGACTGTTGGATCGTCAGGGACCTCAGCAAGTCAGGCAGGCATTTCAATAGAGTATCAATCCTCATTTCTGTTGTTCTTTTAACAAATATTTATTGAGCATCTACAGTGGGCCAGGTATTGTTCTAAGTACTGGGGCTCCATCGGTGAAGAAAAAGAAGCACCTGTTCTTGTGGTCCTTAAATTCTAGGAGGGAGACCGTAAACACAGACACAAGCAACTATCATAAATGTGTTAATTATATAGTAAGTTGGAAGGTGATCAGAATTAAGGAAAAACGTGCCAAGGAGGGAACTCAAGAGGCCCACAGATAACGTCTGTTCCTTTGGGTGAGCCTTGCTTATCTTGCCAGTCTCTGATCGTGGGTGCCCCTGTCCTGGGACCTTCCAACTGAGTCTAGGAGGGCAAAGGCACCACAGTGCTTGGGATCATGCCCTGGCCTGTAGGGAAGCTCCTTGGCTTTTGGGAGACTATGTGCCTCTCCCTGGCCCAAGGCAAGGAGGTCCCTGGCAGCTGGGGTGGTGAGAATTAGCCCTGGGGCGGAGAGATCAGTGGGGGCTTGGTGGTAGTAGTGGTGGGTGGGCTCTGGACCCAGGGCCTGGCCTGTGCTCACGGGCCTGAGAAGGAGCATGATGAAAGGATTAGAGAGAGACAGAGACCGAGACCCAGAGGAGGCTGAGATGCAGCAGTCAGAGGTGGGAGAACAACTGGGAGAGTGTGGTGTTTCAAAAGCAAATGGTGTTTGGGGTAGAAGAAGTAGTTAGCCACGTCCAATGCCTCTGAGAGGTCAAGCAAGAGAAGGCCTGAGGTGTTGACTGGATTTGGCCAGGAGGAAGTCACTGATGACTTTGGTGAGAACAGCACCAGGGAGGAGTAGAGGTGAGAGCCTGACTGTCACGGATGGAGAATGAGGAGAGAGGAGCACCCGTGTCCAGAAGTTCCTTTCCCGGGAGAGGGCAAGGCTGTCCATGTTCAAAGAGGTCAGGAAGGGCCCAGCAGCTCTGTGGTCACCAAGGCAGACACTATGAGGCTATCGAAGGCCCAGGCTGATCAGGCCCTGAACATGGTCTCGACCAGTGTCCCCATCTCCAGATGGGGAGACAGAGGCCCAGAGAGGAAAGGAGTCTTCCCAGGGCCATGTGTCCCCTGAACAGTGGTAGTAGTAGCAGGCAGAGCAGGACCAGGCCTCCTGCCTCCCAAGACAACCTGTGTTCACCACAGGGAAGGGACCACACTCCAGGGCATTGCCTGCATGGCCTACTGATTTCTCTAGCCTCAATTCTCACCAACCTTCCCCTCATTATCTTTGCTCCTCTTGTACTCTCCTTTCTGTTTCAGGCTGCAGTTTTCCCCTTCTATAACTGTCCAGTTTTTGCACCTTTTGTTTCTACCCATCGTCTGCTCCTTCCTTTCATCTGGTTAACTTGTCCTCAGCATCCAGGAGACTGTCCCGACGCTATGGGGTCAGCCGCCTCCTTTGTGTCCCTACAGCCTTCCTTCCCTCTGTGCTGCCTATTGTTTGTCCACTTATCTGCTTCCTGACTCAAACACAAGCTCCTTGCGGGTGCACCATGTCTGATTTGTGTCTTTGCCTCTGGTGTCCTATGTCAGACCTAGCACAGGTCCCTTTCAACATTTGCTCTATGAAGGGGATCCCCCGTATAGAATCTTCTTGCTCAGCTTTGAGGGTAACATGTAAGGGTGGAAGGGGGTGGATGGGTGGGAGACAGGATCATTTCTACAAAGATGCCAGCTCCAGTGACCCCACCTAACACCATGGTTGTGGGCTGGTAAGGGGCAGGTGGACAGCTCTGTCCCTTGGGTGGCAGAGGGCCATGGACTGCTTTTGTTGCTGGGAGGAGTAGGGAGGTGGTGGGGGCGGGGGGACGGTATGAGCTTTCTTGAGCTGGGCCCCAGCAGCCTGGTTATCGTACTGGACCTGGGTGGGGTGAAGGGGTGGGTGTTTATCTGGTCTACTCATAGCAGCTTTGCCTCTTCATGTTATCCACTACCACCTTCCTAGTTGCAAAACACTGGACTGTTCCCCCACATCCAGCATGCCCCCTGTGGCTCCATGGTCTGTGTGAGCCAGGCAAGCACCTCTGACCAGCTTGCTAGGGACCGGTCATGGTGCCGGGCCCATTATTCAGCAGTAGGGGTTCGGCCATCATGTGTCGGAGTAAGGAAAGGATTGCCCAGGGCATCCTCTCCACTGTCCAAAGAAGAAAATGAGGGCTAGTGAGGGGGTGGGGCTTCAGCCAGGGGACCCAGGATTTGAATTCAGGTCTGACTCCAGTGCCAGTGCTTGCTGTCCCTCAGGAGAGGAAGAAGATACAGCCAGTGGGGAGCTGGTGTTCTTAGAGCAGGTAGGCCTGTGCTGTGCTGTGCTGTGGGAGAGACAGCAGTTCAGCATGTCCAGCCATCTGCCCAGGGCCATGAGTAGTGTGGGCCTTGGAGAGCTTGCCTGCAGAAGCAGGCTCGGCTCAAAGACAGGCTCATGGGTGGGATTGAGCAGGAGAAGCAGCTGGGCCACAGAAAGACCTAGGCCTTTGGGGTCAGTCTCACCTGGGTTTAAGACCCAGAGCTGCCATTTACTGTACCTGGTTTGTGACTTTGGGTAAATCATTTAACCTCTCTGAGCTTCACTGTCCTCATCTGTTAAATAAAGATATTGACACCCATCTTACAGGGCTGTCAAGGGGTTTCAAAATAATATATGTCAAGTGCTTGTGCTCCGTAGAAAGCAGCCTTGTTAGACCCCATTGTTGGAATGGGGTTGGGTGGGGCTGTGCTTGGGAATGGCTGAAGAGAGAAAGAGGGCAGAGGGAGAAGGGGGAACATCAATTCATCAGAGCAGGAGGAATTCCTCTGGACCTGTCCCATGCTGGGCAATGCTGGGGAGAAGCAAGGGACTTTCCCTGTCCCTGTCGTAGGGGGCTGGGTGGAAATGGGGTGTACGGAAGTGCTGCGAGGGAGGCCCAGTTGTTTTGGAGACCTGGCTCTGGCCGTGGAGGCCCAGAGTAAATGTTTGAGGAGGTTGCTGGAGAAGGCTTCCTGAAGGAGGTGCTATTTCCTTTCTTCCAGGTGCCTTTGCAGGGAAGCACAGTGCGTCCTGAGCCCCAGCGTCTTCTCCCAATGTCAGATGCGAGCTGCTCCAGGGATACTGGTCCTCCCCCCTGGGTGCCCTACTCCTGCCCAGGACACCTGGGATCAGGCAGGGCTGGGCTGCTGCAGCTACCCAGTGCCCACTGTGACATTCTCTCTGGCTCCCTCCTCCTTTCTCTCCCCACTCACTTAGTCCAAGCCCTGCCTCCCTCCCCAGCTCCTGGCCTTCTCTGTCCACACAATAACAGGATGTGATCCGTTCGTGGAGAGGAAGTGGGGAGGACGGGCAGTGCTGATAGCGCATTTCTGACTCTCCACACCTCCCCTCCCCTTTGGACCAGCCCCCAAAGTTGCCTCCTCCCCAAGGTCCTGCCCACGCCTCTCTCTGGGTTAGAGAGGGATGAATTTGGGATCTTCAGGCTGCACTCAGGCACATGTATGCCCTTGGGGAGAGACACACTGGCCCCCTGCCCTCCTGGCTCTAGTTTTGCTGCCTAGAGACAATTGTCTGAGCCACTGAGTCTCAAGAAAGCTTGCCTGACAAGCTCTGGGCTCCATGGTATTTTCTGGAGGTGCTGGAGCCTGGGAATGGCAGGTGGGTTCCTCAGCCCCCACATCAGCAGGGCTCCACCCACCTACCTGTTTCCCCAAGTCCACATGGGCCTGACCAAATCAGTGGGGTAACAGAATCAATCAAAGGTCTCTGTGAAGCACTGACTGTGCTCTGGTTTGCACAAGGTGAATGATAGGTTGCACAGAAGGGGAAACTGGGACCCCGAGAAGCAAAGGGACTTGTCTAAACTCAGAATAAACTAGGAGCTCTCACCCCTTTCAGCCAGTGCTGTCCAATAGATCTTTCTGTGATGATGGACGTGTGT